CCAGCTCCTCAGTTTTGGTCAGTGGTGATGCAGGACACGACCTGGACGCTTTTATTTCCCAAGAGAAGCAGAGCTGGCACAGGGCGTTGTGTGCAGGACCTGTGACAGCCAACACTCAGCAGCCAGCGGGTGGCACTGTTGTTGCAAGGAAACTTTTAAAAAAAAAAAAAAAAAGCGCCATTTAACACTTCGGAACTATTTGGATGGAAGTTTTCCATTGAAAACACCAGTTTTACTGAAATTGAAACGTTTCATGGCACATGTCACTTCTCCATGAATTTTTAATGGAGAAAAATGTAAATTACTCAGTTTGACTTTATAATTGCAATATAGCTTGTTTTCCCTTAGCGAATCAGTTTAATACTTTATATGGATACACAATTTAATATAATTCTTAATTTTATAGTGTTTTTTTATCCTAGTGAGTTAAACTCTCAAAAATTAAATGGTCTTGCATTGTGGGGGGGGGGGAAGACATTTGATATTTTTTGAAAAATAATAATAACAACCTTAAAAAGCCTTTCAAATGTTGTCCCAAAGAAAAACATCATCTTTGACTCTCAATGTGAGATAAAAATATGTTTCTGAAAGGCTGAATTTCGTATGGGCTGAGTGATCTGTATTTTGATCTGCTCTGAGTGGGTCTCCTTGACAAAGGAACGAGCTTTGAGGTGCTGTTTCATGGTGCTATGTGAGTGGCAGTGCTGCCCAGCAGAACATGTGCTGTAGAGGGACATCTCCATCCTGCTGGGAACAGCTGTTCATCACTCTGGTGTCTCTGTAAGCTGTCCAGGGCAGGAAATGGTGCCAACATGAGGCTGCAATTTCAGGTAGTTATTGCTTTTTAAAAATATCCAGTTGCTGAGGTTTAACTAGGAACAGCTCAATGTCTCTGTCGCTGTCGAGTGATGGGTGTTTACAGAACAACTACAGGCAGTGCAGGAGCTGGGAGGCACAGGGAAAGAGCACTCGGTGAATTGGAGAGGGAACACCTTCCCTTTTCTGCCTTCCAAAATTAAAAACCCCACTAGTTATTCCTGTGTGGCTTGTCTTGTTTGTTGTGGCAAATGTGCAAAACATGGGCTTGCTCTTCATAGACAGGGTAAGTTATTTATAGTGACTTCTCATCCAGTCTTGCTGGAGGAAGCCCAAATTCTCCGTGTATTTGCCATATGCAAAACTTACCGCAGTTATTACAGACTTCTCAGAGCCTGCCCACTTCATGTCAAGTTAACATTGCCACAGCTGCACTGTGCAGAGCAGCAGGATTTGGAGTGACATCCACAGGGGCCCTATGGAAATAAACCCGCTGACAGGGATGTTGGCTGGAGGATCTGGAGTCAGGATCCGTAAATATACTTGTTTTCTAATTGGAAGTGAGTAATGGCTCTGTAAGATATTAGGAGCAACCTGTGTCCCTCTGGACTGCGTGGCACAACCACTGCAGCTCCACACAAAGATTGCTTAAATGTATGCAGTCACCTCACTGAAATCAAGATACCTAATTAGGTCAAGACGAATTCCACAGAGATATTCAAAGTAAGTATGTACATAAATGTTTTTTTAGATCAGGGCATAGAGAAGGACCCCTAGGTATCCCAGAGGAAACCACAATTCCTAGGTTCCCTCCAGGGATACGTAGCTGGGCTTTTGTTCTTGTAAGTGCTGCAGTGAACTCTTTGAGGAAGCTTAGCAATAAAGACAAGCACATCCTTTTTTGTTTTTGTTTGACACAGTTACTTTGGTGACTGTGTCAACAGTGGAGAAGGAAGCAAATTGTGTTACTACCTCTGTCAGTTCTTAAACAGCACTGCAGAGTCCCCTCTCCTCCCTAAATGAGGAAGAGAAAGTCACACTGTAATATTAATAACTGTGGGGCCCTTTAGCCTTTAATAATTAACACACTGCTAACTGTAGCTGAATGTTCTTTTTTCTGATTCCAATTACAGACCCATTTGGCCCAGGCTCAGCTGAGGGAAGTGGGTGAGCAGCAGTGCTATAATAGAGACCTAGAGCTAAGAGAAATTGTTCTCCTTTGGCCCACACAGTGGATTAAATAAAGCTTTGGGCTCAAAGAGTGGAGAAGCCAAAGCATCAGGTGTTACAGAAGAATAAAGTACTTCTGTACCCCAGCTATTCCAAACCAGGGACTACTTTAATATCAGAGCCAATTCCTGGAGCCTGCTGACAAATACACTCACCTGGTCTAAGGTAAAATGAAATGTTCCTCTCCATAAGTGACAACTGTTCATATACTTGCCATTTTCCCTCAGTATTCTGCTGAGTAGGAGTCTCTTGCTAGTATTTTCCATCTGAAATAGAGTCGCTAGTGCAGCTCTAACAAGAAGTTTAGCATTTAGAAAACCTGCTATGATCTTTGCAACGTGATTTACAAGTCTTGAATAAATGTTGTTAGTGTTTTGCTGCAACATCATGATGTTCTGGCAGCATTCCTGCTACCCTAGACACTTCTGCCAGCAGACAGGCCAATTTAGCAGTAACAGCTTAAATACTTCTCAAACTATAGCCCTACTTCAAAAGGTCTGTTATGCAACCAGAAGAAGAAGGGAAGGCAACTACTAAATTCCAAGTCATGGTTACCTAGCAGCTAAAACTGAGTGATGCCATGAATTCTGTCTTCCTGCCCCTGGTTGTGCAATCCCACACCTTCCCTTGTGGGAGCAGCTGTCAAGTGAGAAGGTGCAGAGAGCTGATCCAGCTGAAAACTAACCTGACAAAAAAAATAATCAGTTTTTGTTGGTATGGCTTCCCATCCACGTTTAGATTAGCTCAAGCAATCATAGCATTATGCCCAGAATTAGTCAAAAGAAGTAGTGAAGGAGACTTGGAATTGTACTGGATTGTGTCACATAGTGGATGCTTTTAGTAATAACTCTGTCTTGGAGTTATGCTGTCAGTTTTTTCCAATAGTTGGTGGAATGTTAATTCTCATTGTGTGGCATGGCCATTGCTATGCTCATTTTCAGCTACCTGACAGCAATTAGTAAAGATCTCGAGAGATTTTCTGATTTTCAGGGTATTTTCTCTCTGCTTAAATCTGAGAAGTTGTGAGGTGGAAACAGAGTAGGGAGATGGGAGTGAGAAATTCTTTTGCTCAGTTATAAACGTGGGTGACAGCAGCTGGGGATTAGAGAAAATTCCACAGGCAACCTAGGACAGCAGGAGAGGGAGGGAAGTTACAGCATGAGATGAGGTCACTCAAGGGCACTTGAACAGCCATGTATGCCTGAGTTAGATGTGCTGAGCCTTGAGGGCAGGGTTCAGAATGTGGGGTCCTCAAAATCAGAGTTTAATTTTCAACAGTTTGAAAGCAGGAAGGAGATTAAGAATGCAAGGCATGAACATGAAGTGGAAATGCATCCAAAACAACCCAAAATCCCCTCACAGAATTCTAGTCCTGAACTTTCTCCTGAGTTAATGAGGGATTATAAATGGAATCTTTACCTGGATGCAGTGAGAAAGTGGAATTTATCTTCATTTGCAAGCGTGGAATTTTCAGTGAAAGGTTGAAATCATGCATTTTATCTATATTATTTAGATTTTAATTTTATTTTTATATATAACTTTCTTTATGCCTTTTATTGCAGTGCTGGTTCCCCATAGGCATTGCCATCCTGTCTTAATTTACTGTTCTCTGTAGTGTTTGTTCCAGGGTCAGGTTGTACATCCCATGAGGCCTCTCTGCTCATGACCAGAGCTGGGTAATGAATTGTGTCTGCCAAGTGTCTGTGCCATGTCCTGGAAGATGTAGGCCAGGAGAGCTCCAGTCCTAGAGGAGAACAGGAAAAAAGCAAAGGAACCACATTTCTCAAAGACATAATTGCAATATTTCAGAATTAAAATATCCTGCATTTTGATGGTTCAGCTGTTCAGTGAGAGAACAGCATTTTCTGAAAGAAATGTTGCTTGAAACTGAAATTTCCATTGGAAATCCAGGCCTGAGGGACAAATTTCTGATGGATCTGTGCTTGGTCCTTCTCTGCATTTCTTAAAAGAGAACTTCAGTTCTTACCTGCTTCAGCAACCCACAGTGTGGCTCAATGGCTCAATCTCTAAATATAAATGAGAAGTACAGTTGCAATCACAAGGAGTTTTATGTTATGGAAATACAAATACCATTGGAATGGATTAAAATTAAGACACTAAGAAGAGTTGAGCTTTGAGGATAATCTGATAACTCTAAGATGACATTTAAAAATTTTTAGCACTTGTACAGAAAGCTAAAAAAACAGTTTTTCCAATGTTTTTAATTAAAAGAGTTCTAGTGAGCTCTATTTGACGTGAGCTTGCTAGAAAGGGAGTACTTATGTTTATGTGTAACATCAAAATAAAGACAGGATTGCTTCACACATTTTGGACGTTTTGGTAAAGATAATTTTTTGGTTTCTCCAAGCCTGTTCACCCATCTGTGATCTCTTCAAATACCATCAATTGAAAATGTTACACCAACGGTGAGACAAAAAAACCCAACTTGTTTTAAGGAAAGAAAAAGCGCATTGTTTGACAAAGTAATAAAGCAGAAGAAATCTGACTCTAAAAGAGGGTGCAACAGAGAACAAAACTAGAGATTAGAGATCAGTGGTTCCATCCATAGGGGTGTTTATGGTATGACACTACACAGCCAGTCAGTGGAAGGCAAATGAATGATGATTTTGTGTGAAAGGCACTGAACAGGGTCCTGAATTCTGGGATCAGTTCTGTGTGGATGAAACTCCCATGTCAGGTGGGCTGCTCTCCACTTACAACCCAAGGATGACAATATTTTGGGGCAGGGGCTGATTTCTGAGTGTGTCTCAGTAGCACTTTGCACGGTCCCACTGCTATTCCCAGCACTTCCTGGGTCTTGTAGGTTTGCACTGGTGTGGAAGATGTTCTGCTGTGCCAGAGATTATTTTGATATTTCAAAATTTATAGAAATTTATAGAAATTGGAAGTCAGTTTCAGAAGGAACCAAATACATCTGAATATTTTACATGCAGAAATTCCACCAGAATCCCTGGTATCTCACGTGAGTGTCTCTCCTGAGTGTGGGAAAGCAAAGTTCAAGTGTGTGTTCCAGTTCCTACAGCTCCAGCTCAGGGATAGTCAGGTGAGCTTTTGCTCTGTGTTTTGACCAGAAATTCCATCCCACTCTTAGCCAGTCTTCATATAAAACTCATCAAATCCAGCCTTTTGTTGGAAAATACTCAACCAGATTCATTCTGGATACTACTGTGGTATTACCTGTAAACAATAATTATGAGAAAAGGATTTAAAAAATCTCTGCAGGTTCTGATTAGAATAAAGACCTAGATTACTTCCCTGGAACACTGGAAAACAGTGGTTAAATTCTTCTTTGTTATGTCTGTGTCATGGCCAGGCAGACCCTAGAAAAGCGGGGGATTAGCAGAAAATGCAAACCAGGGGGGAAATGTTGCTCTTTAGGAGAGATTTGAAATTATTATACTGGATTTACTCTCAGTGAGAGCAGAGGTGGTCTTTAAGATCTATGTTACAAGATGGTCATGAGACATTTTGCCTGCATTCTCATAGCTTTTCAAAGGCCACAAGAAGGTGCAAATGTCATCACCATGGAAAGTCAGGATACTCCTCAGGAAAATGGCCAACACAGACATTTTTAAGATAATCCATGAACAACTCCCATAAAATGGTAGCTGCTTAGGAGGCGGAGATTTCATTTTTAATAATGATCTTTTCTCCCTGCAGAATCTTGCTCCCACCTTATCAATATTTTAGAAAAGAAAGAGAAACCTTGTGCAGCTGCGGAGGCAATTTGGAGGGATTAAAAATTTATCCTGTTTTGAGCAAGGCTTTCAGCAGGTGCTGGAATCACTTAATCACAGGTGGGTAACCTGCAGTGCCTCTCTTTCCCAGGGCTAAAACTGGAGTGAAGGTCCTGGAAATTCTTTCATGCAGGGATCTTCTGTCAGGATCTACTTCCAATTCCAGTCATAGCGGGTCACGCACTTTGCCTGGAACAGCAAAAACAGTCGAGTCTAGGATGTAAAAGTGACAATTTTTCATGTAGTTTCTTTCACTTGATGAGGGAATAGAGTCCAGCCCACTCTTAGCAGCTCAGTTACCATGGCAGGGTTACACCAGGCTTTGAATTTGGCTCAATAATTGAAAGGGCTAATTAACATTAGCTGAAACTCAGAACTTGGGCTCTGCAGAAAATTCAGGCAATTCCATGTTGATTTTCACTCAGAAGTGGAAAGAGCCATGTGGTTTAGAAATTTCTTTCCAAAATATTCCCCCTGACCAAGAATTTTACTGGAGTGGAGAAGGAGGAAAATAGGTAACCTCCAGCTGACACTCAGAAATCAACCCAAAACCTTAATTTCTGAAAGACTTTTAAGCATACGTTTTCTTCCTGTAGCTAAAGGAAACCCGATAAAAGCATTTCCTTTCAAGCATTTTTCAGTGAAATTTCATGATGATTATAATGTTAAACGGAACATTTTGCATAAACAAACCAGAATTTTTCAGGTGTAGAAACATTATCTGGGAATTGTGGAGGCTATTTCCTTTATTTACTTGGTCTATTTGACACTGAGACAGTTGGGTTACTAATCCATATCGATGAGTAAATATACACCATTGCTAAGGAGAGAGTACTTTAAGTTTCCTCTGCTCCCAAGAGAATAAGTTGCAGCTGGCAGTGATAGATTGTGCAGAGTAACCCCATACCATTTGTTTACAGATCTGCATGTGATTTCCACCCACTACAACTAATTGCTTTTATCAGCACCAGTAATTAGAGGCACCAAAGAATCATCAAATTTTCTGACTGGGGATGGTGTAAGACGGTGTTGCACAGTGTGCTGTGACAGTTTAGAGGAGGGCAGATAGCAATTTGGGAAAAGAATATAGTCAGAGCTTGCTGGTACATAGAAAACTGCTAATTGGAGCTTCCTGCTGCATTTGTGGAAAAATAGCCTGGACACCATTGCTTCTTGTCTTGGTCGTTTTCTTTAGAACTCTCTGTGAACACACGCTGGGAGTCACAGGGATGCACCACTTTTGATCAACCCTTTGTTGTGAAAGTTTTCTCAAGTAGACAGTGGCACAGCAGAGAAGAATCACTGTCTGGTGCAAGTAGAACTGAGCAGTTGGAATGTCAGGAGAATCAGGAAGAGGTCAAGAGTTCAGTTCATAAACAGCCCTTGAAGGCAGGTCTTCCACTGCAGACATGAGCGTTTTCATCATCAAAGTGTTCAAATCCTGTCCCATGGGTGTCTATCAGCCTTGATTTTGTCCTGTTATAGAATAAGAACATGTTGGAAAGCTGGAAAGCATGCTCCCAGTTCAGTTTGGGGCTCAGTGAGCCTATGGACAAAGCAATTCCTGCTTCTCATCCCTACCCTTCCCTTCCCCGAGCCTGGTAGGGCAAACACTCTCCTGGACACAGGGAGTACCAGTGCCAGGACTGCTTTATTCCACCTACCCAAACTGAAAATGGATCCAGCCTGGTGAGAAATAGTCCAATGAAGGGGAAAAAAAACCATATTTTTTTTCAGGCAGAGGATTTAAACTTCGGACTTCAGTGCTGGGCAGGTTTCTGCAGCATTTGTCGTAGATAATACTGGAAATCTGTTTCTGACTGAACTCTAAATAATTGCTGCCAGAATGGCATCGTGGTGCTGATGAATATTTCTCCAACAAAAGAAAAACAGCATGTTGATTCTTGAACCACAGAAAGCCATAGTTGTAATTTAAAATCTGGCTCGATGTTTAAAATACTAAATTCATTATCTTTCAGAGTCTTTATAAATATACATCTAAACTATCACTCTGAATACATTTGGAAGTGTAAAGAAACAGACATTCTTTTTTTCTGGCAAGGGATTAGACTATTGGTTGTTCCATTTTTAAGATATTCCCAAATTTAAATATCAAGGCCTGGGTGAAAAATGAAATTAAAAAATCCTACCTGCACAGAAAGTAGAGCACATTCTGTTTCAGAGGTATTCATTCCTGTTACATTTACCAAAAAAACTTATAATTATGAAATTGCAACACTTATTTGAAACGTCTTTTGCTCACACAATAGCAAATGTTCCTGCTCCTCCTCTCATGAGGACCATATAAAATACTTTTTTTTTCATTAAAATAAAGAAGTGCTGGGGAAAAAAACCCATAGAATATAAAACTTCTCAGCTTCAGAGATGCCAAACAGTTATCAAGGACTGCGAGGGGATATAAATTTTCAGAAAAATTGAAGGAAGAGGGAAAAAAAATGAAGCTTTGACATTAACAAGATGATAACAGCCATTGGCTCTTGTTCTCTACCTTATAATCCAAAATTTTAGCAGTGAGATAATCAGGTTTTCACTGACTTGCATGGAAATGGATCTGACGTGGATCACACTCTGCTCTTTGGCTTGGCTGTTATTATGTGCTGGAAGAGTTTTGACAAAAATAATAACCCCTGAGTGAGGTTTTCAGGAGCAGAGTCTGTGTGTCAGACAGGTAAATCACAGGTCCTCGAATTAGCTCTGCACTCATGTGATGTCTGAATGTAAGCAGAGCTCTTGAAAATCCAGAACTTTGAAAGCTTGAGGGATTGAAGGGTCTATCTAGTGCTGATCTCAACAGGAAATATTCTGCCAGTAGGGAAAAAAGGAATCAGACCTTGCTCCTACTCCAGAAAGCATGTTGTGGTTTCATGCCTTAAAATAGTATTACAGGCATGGAAGATATTTTCAAAACTTGAGAGCTCATAAAATGATTTTCACATAATTTCTACCAGTTGCCACTAGGAATCAAAAAGCAGTGAAGAGGAGACCTGCATATCTTCTTTCGGATTTTTTTCCTGATGTGATTTCTGACTACCAGAAACAACAATGTGTAGACAATCCAGTGACTAAATGATAACAGTCAAAAAGTGTTATGTACCTCTTATTGTTTTACATAATTAAGACATTGGTGCATATTTGGATCTTAAATCAAAAATTCACATTTTTTAAAAGCTTCCTCAATGCAGCAACACTTTAGTGATGCTAAGTTAATCAATATTAAGTTGTAATCTTTCTATTCAGTGACTCTTAAGCAAGGAAAGTCAAGGAACAGAACCGATTATGTCCCCTGAAGTTTTCTATTGCTGCCTGTTCCATGTGTTCTGGCAAGCAGCCTTCCCACAGCAAACAGCTGGGAGGGTTATTCCATACCCTCCCACCTGCAGAGCATCCTTGTCTGTCTGTAGCCTTGGCTGGAGGTGTCAGCTCAGTCAGTCCTTGTGCCCATTCTGCTGCCCTGCCTTCCATTTTATTGCAAGGCCAAATTATTACTTAGAGAACACTCCTGTCCTCCAGAGCCAGCAGTGTTTTAGGGTTTAGTTGGCCATCACCCTAAAGATCAACAGGGTTCAGCTTTCTGTAATGGCAGAGCTGCCTTCCATGTCCTGGATGTGTGTTATTTATCAATACCATCAGCAATTTAAGGGCATGATGTCAAGACTACACAGTGAGCTCTAGAAACATGGTAAGAATGTGGCCAGGTACTCATGTGTCTGCAAACATCCATATGTGCTGGGCTGGGTGTTGGCATGAATTTCAGTCTCCTCTGTACTAACAAATGCTGCAGCATTTTAGGCACTGACCTACAAAGCAGCCTGTGTGGGTGGAGCCCTTGGCAAAGCCCTTAGAATTCCGAGTCTTTGTTTGCCAGCACAGGAGGGAAACGTGCAGCTCCTGGAAAAATTACATTGATGCTCATTTGTAAGAAACCTCAGCCTCACTGCTATTGATCCTGGATTTTGTGATCCCTGCATTTGGGGCTCAGATTCATCCATCACTGACACTTAAACCTAAGAGACAATCTAGCTATATGCCAAGGCATATCTTAAGTGTTGTTTGTGTGTTCCTGGTACAGCCTGTGCATTTTTTGGCGAGCTGGAAGAAGAGAAAATACCATAACACTTCGCTTAAAAAGAAATTCTTTAAAAGTTCTGGTGCATATGATGCAGCTTATAGGAAAGAAATTGAGCTGAAATAGTACCACGGTGACATACTTGATCACTACGGAGAGGAGATGTAATGACTTTGGACAGCAACTGTCAGGGTTAAGAAAGTTATTTGTTCCATTGGTTTATGGCACAGACTAGTAGTATTTTATTGTCAAACAGAATTAGTTTTATATCAAGAAGAGTGATTACTTGGGTTCACTGTGTTTGAGATTAAACTTGATGATTTCATGTCCATTATTGATTTAGGCTTTACATTCAGAGGAGTAGCGGTTTATATTTTACTTAAGGGGATTTGATCACAGTAGATGTAATCTTCAATGGTTTCTGCAAATAAATTAGTAAAGTTGCTATGCCTTTTACAGTAACTGAAGAAGAAAAGTGAAAGGGGGCTTTATCTCAACAAAAACAGTGCAAAAAGAAGATGGTAAAAAATGCTGCTTAGCTTTTCCAGGATGCAAGGGATGTGCTAACAGCTCAGTGTGGGGTTCAGGATAGCAGGAACCACACAAAAGACACTGTCAATGGCACATTGCAGCTCCAGACTCAGGCGACGTGGATTTGGCCAAGGGATGCCGAAAATTCACTGTACATCATCTCCTCTGGTTTATCCTGAAATTACCCCAAAGGAGAGAGGGACATCCAAGGTGCTTTCCAACATTAGAACAGGGTCGATGAGAGACAAAATGTGGGTGGGCTCTGTGGGAGGCAAATGTGCCAAGTGTGTGATATGTGTCACTACAAATAACCCCTTCTGAGATGCCTTAAATCAGACAGTGGGTTGGAACATGCCATGGGGAACCAACCAAGCAGCA